CTGAAACCTGATGAAACGGTTGTGCGATGTTGTTTATTAAATTTGCCTTTGTATCCGCAGAAGGTTGTTTCCATTAGATTTTCTGGTTGCCTCTGTTCTGTTCGTTTATTCGTTCAGAACGTCTTAAGTCGAACGAAACGATTATCAAATCTGTCATCGACTTTTGTACTCACGCTTCCCTGTATCAGTTGCACTGATGAATAATACGATTCGATGCTCAAAGAAGGCGTTCATAACAGACACCGTTGTTTGCACAAAACTCCAATAATTTAATTCCGTTATTATTGAGATCGCTAGGATCATTCTTTCCAGTCACGCCTTTCCACTTTTCAGTGTCTGCTCCGACATTCATAACAAAATCGCCCATTGGAATGTGGGACTCTGTAGCCTGCGCTTTGTGTATAGAGTGCACTCCACTTTCTCAAGGAAAAAGTCATTCTCTCTCTCCCTCTCTCCCTCCAAATTGGGCGCATAGACCTGTAACAAGGTCAGGGCTTTAGCATGTTGAAGCCTCAGTCGGATGATTGCCACTCTTCCGTAGACAGGCTTCCATCCAGTGATTCTCTCCGCAAGACTAAGTTCTATCACAACACGAACACCGGCCTTAGCCTGCGTTGTTATGTCAACACCTGAGTAGAATAGCTTTCTTCTGCATAGATTCAGTACCTTGGCGCTGCGTTAAGGAGAGTCCAACTATGTCGAGTTGGTACTTTAAGGCCTCATCAAGTAGCTCCTGCTCTTTCCCTCTACATGAGGAGATACTTTAATTTCCGACTATAAGCTCCCATTGTCGGTGTCGTTCCTGCAAGACTTTATTTGACATGCTATAATAGCACTGTGCTGTTTACCTCCTCTGTTCAGAACGGGTAGCGGCTCTCTTGCTGGCTGGTATTTCCGTTTTGTCGATCTTGGACAGCCGTCGCCGTGGTGCTACGATCCCAGCTGCGGGAGTACATGAAATAAGTTCTGATGGCTGACTTGTCCAGTCCAGCTCAATTTTCCAGTAACGTGCACATCCCTTTGTTACCCGCTTGAAGACAGTAACGTTCGGCAGCAATACTATTGGGGGGATGGCAGGTGGCTAAGTTTTGTGTGGGGCTTTTCCATAGTCCCCAATCTTTCTCCTTTTTCATCTGGACTTCGGACCGTAAATGGCGAAGTTACTTATATTTCAAACAATTTATTGAAATGAATATATATTCTATTGTAAATATACTGTAGTAGTGAACCACGTGCAGGAGGGTCCCAGCTTAGTGTATTGGACCCCTTGTTTCGATGACGAACCTTCGTGTAGGTTCGTAGCCGGGCTTCTGAGGTGGATGCAGTTATGTTGGCTTGTAGAGGTGCAGATGGTAGAGATACACGATAGAGTATATTAGAGAGCCCTAGGTAGAGGCA